GTCTTTCTCTTTTTCCAAGCATGATTTCCTTCTCCAGGGACTGGTCCCACTTGACAATATGTCCAAAGAAAGAGAGCCAAAGTCTCAGGATCCTTGCTTCTAAGGACTATTCAGACTGTACTTCCAAGACAGGTTAATTTATTCTTCTGGAAGTCCATGGTGCTCTTCAATATTCTTCCACAAATTCACTTAGAAGACATCACTTCTTCTATAGTCTTCATTTCTCATTGTCTAACTTTCATAAGCATATGAGGTGATTGAAAAGACCATGGTTAGGTATTCCTTAGTCATCAAATTGACAACTTTGCTTTTTAAAAATTTCAAGAACTCTTTTGCAGTGGATTTGCCCAATGCAATTCATCCTTTGATTTCTTGACTGCTGCTTCCTTGAGTGTTGATTGTGGATCCAAGCAAAATGTAGTCTTTGTCAGCTTCAATCTTTTCTCCAATTATTATATTAATATTTATTGGTCCAGTTGTGAGGATTTTGGTTTTTCTTATGTTGAGGTGCAATCCATACTGAAGGCTATGATCTTTGATTTTCAACAGTAAATATTTTAAGTCCTCTTCACATCCAGCAAGCAAGATTGTATCATCTGCATATCACAGATTGTTAATGAGTCTTCCTCCAATTCTGATGCCACGTTATTCTTCATATACTTCAGATTCTCAAATTATTTGCTCAGCATACAGATTACATAAGTATGATGAAAGAAAGAAGCCTAGCACACACCTTTCCTGATTTTTAATCACTCAATATGCCCTTATTTTGTTTGAATGACTGCCTCTTTGTCTATGTACAGGTTCCTCGTGAGCATAATTAAATGTTCTGGAATACTTAGTTTTCATAGTGTTATCCATAGTTTATGATGAGCCACACAGCCAAAAGGCTTTGCATAGTCAATAAAGCACAAATAATCATTTTTCTGGTATTCTCAGTTAAGATCCATCTGACATCAACAATGATTTCCGTCATTTAATGGCCTCTTCTGCATCTGGCTTTAATTTCTGTCAGTTCCCTGTTGATGTACTGTTATTGTAATTGAGCTATCGTCAGCAAAAATGTACTTACCTGTGATATTAACTATATTGTTCACTGGTTACTGCACACTGAGCACTCAGATCTATTTAGAATGAACATCAACATGGATTTTTCCCAATCGATTGACTAGGGAGCTGTATTCCAAATACCTTGGCATAAATGAGTGTGCTGCATCCATTTGTTGAAACAATACAATTTGTATTCCATCAGTTCCTGGAGTTTTGTCTCTCACCCATGCCTTCAGTGTAACTTGAGCTTCCTCATTAAGTACCATTGGCTTTTGATCATATGCTATCTCTTGAAATGGATCAACAGTGATCATTTCCTTTTGGTACAGTGACTATATAGTTTCCAAATTCTTTAGATACTTTCTATATCATTCAGTATTTTGCCCATAGATTCCTTAAGTATTTCAAGTCAAGACTTCAATTTTTTCTTCAATTCTTTCAACTTGAGAAATGCTAAGTGTGTGTTTTCCCTGTTGGTTTTCTAACTCCAGGTCTTTTCACATTTCATTATAATACTTGCTTTTTCTTCTCTAGCTACCCTTTGAAATTTTCTGTTCATCTCTTTTACTTTCTCATTTCTTCTATTCACTTTAGTATTTCTTTGCTGAAGAGCAAGTTTCAGAGTGTCTTCTGACATCCATTTTTGTCTTTTCTTTCTTTTTTGCTTTCTTCCTGTAAGATATCCTTGATGCCATTACACAACTCTTCTGGTTTTAGGTCATTAGTGTCTAATGCATCAAATCTGTTTTTGAAATGGTCTCTAAATTCAGGTAGAATATATTCAAGTTCATATTTTGGTGCTTGTGGACTTGTTTTCACTTTTTTTCAGCTTCAGCCTAAATTTGCATATGAGCAATTGATGGTCTGTTACACAGTCAGCCCTTCTCCTTGTTTTGTTATTGTTGTTGTTATTAGGTGCCATCGAGTCAGTACAAACTCATAGTGACCCTATACACAACAGAACAAAACACTGCCTGGTCCTGGGCCAACCTCACAATCATTTGACTGATTTTATTGAGCTTTTATAACATCTCTTGCCACAAATATAATTTGATTCCTGTGTATTCCCTTGGGAGAGATCCATGCTTATAGTAGCTTTTTCTGTTGTTTTTAAAAGGTCTTTGCAATGAATGGGTATTGATAGTAACATACACACCTCCACTGACACTCAAAATTCAGTCATGTGATCTCCAGAATCATTTCTTTCACGGAGGCCATATTTTCCAACGATTGACCCTTCCTCTTTGTTTCTAACTTTTGCGTTCCATTCAACAGTAATTATTTATACATCTGGATTGCATATTTGATCGATTTCAGTCTGAAGAAGTTGGTAGAATTCTTCAATTGCATCATCCCTGGCTTTAGTGGGTGGTGTATAAACCTGAATAATAGTGGTATTAACTGGCCTTCCTTTTAGCTGTATGAATATTATCCTTTTATAGAGAGTATTGTACTTCAAGATTGACTTTGTAATGTTCAGTTTTCATAACGAATGTGATGTCATGACTCTCGAATTTGTCATTCCTGATATAGTAAACCAGTAAGGCTTAGGATATCAATCTTTATTCATTCTGTTTCGTTTTTGACAACTTCCAGTTTTCCAGGATTCATACTTTGTACATTCCATGTTCCGATTATTAGTGGACGTTTGCTGTTTCTTCTTAGTTTGAGTTGTGCCCCATCAGCAAATGAAGGTCCTGAAAGGTTTACTTTGTTCATGTCATCAGGGTCAACTCTGTTTTTAGGAGACAGCTTTGCCCCAGTTGCATTTTGAGTGCTTTCCAACTTGAGGGGTTCATCTTCTGACACTGTATCTGTCAATGTTCTATGCCTATTCACTGAATAAGTAATGCTGACTAAATGGCAGAGTTAATTCAAGGCCGACCATTTTCCTCTAATACTGTTTTTGTGTTTCCGAGTCCCATATTTTATTTGATCGTTATTTCCCCTAAGCTACCTTCAGTTTGTGAAAGTCCCTCTCTGTTCTCGTATCTTCCTTACCTTTCCACTTCATGAGGAGGACTAACTCAGACTCAGACTCAGTGCTCTGCAGCCTGGGCTTACTGAGGGCTTGCACAGTGTTCTCTCACTTTGGAGTGAGGTTTTAGACACAAAAAACATGTCTTCCTAGGACATCAGCCCAGAGTGCAGCATGTGTCCTATGATCTTTGCAAGTTTTTTCTACTGTAACTGACCATCTTTCTGTGGGAAGGTGGTAAGTCTCTATAAGGAGACACTGAAACATGCAAACGCTGTGTCTCCTCATAATTTTACTTAGTAGTTTTAGCATCTTGCAGTGATCTTGTCTGTGATGGTCATTACTGTAGTGTTTGCCTATCAGTGACTTTTGTGTATCCTTTTACTTTTATTGATGGAAATTCTCTGAGGAACAGCTTCTCTCTGTGCTGTGTTTCTTTGAATATTGATTTACTTATATCAACATAAACTCAAATAATAAAATCCTTCTCCTACCCCCACTTTAAAAAAAACAATGTTGTTGTACCAATTGTTCCAATTTTGCTATTAAGAATTCCTTTAGACTGGGAACTTTGTTCTTTTGACAAGCCCCATTTTTTGGTTTCATCTGTTTGTTTTCTTGTTTTTAGCAATTCCTTACTTTCTGTAAGGTGTCATGAAGCTTAGGTTATTTCATTTTTAATGCTTCAACTCTGGAATCAATTACTTCTTTTAGGGGTGGTGAACATGTTATTGGAAAATTGTGTTTAGATACCAAGATCTGGATGCAGAGTCTGCTCATTGTGCCTGAGATGCTGTGGTTTCTAGGCCTCTATGTGGACAGAAATATGAAATAAATAGATGCATATTAATCCGCATAAACATGTACATATCTAAATGTCTCTGTCTGTCTACCTGTGTGCCAATTTAAACCAACAAATTTATATTGACTCTACTAATTCCAGTCCAATATCACACAAGTCATTTTCACCTTCTCTTATTCCTTATATAGAACATCTTTCTCTAACAGTGAGTAAACTAGTTCTCCATGTAGGCATTGCATTTACTTATTTGTTCAATTCTAGCATGCACATGGTTTCAGAAATGGTAACTCATACTATTTTGAGAAAGCCCCTTATTGGCTAGATTATAGCATTGACGTACACTTTGTATGTAAATGCGTTGTTTCCCCTTTACTTTGACTAGTTTTTTCCTTTCCAAGCTGCAGTGTGGTTGTGTAAAACCAATTGCCATTGAGTTGAGTCTGACTCCTAGCAACCCTATGTGCATCAGGGAATTGTGCTCCATAGAGTTTTCAGTGGCAGATTTTCAGAAGTAGATTGTCCAGCCATTCTAAGGCACCTCTATGTGTACTCAAACCTCCAACCTTTTCATTAGCAGTCAGGTGTGTTTGCCACTTGTACCCACCAGTGATTTTTCATGCACAGCAAAGGTTTTGAAAGGTGAGATATCTGGGATCAGAAGAACTAGATAGTGCTCAGTTACAACTGCTCTAAAAGGGATCACAATAAGAGGTCCTGGATAGAATGGTAGAAAAGTGTGAAAAAACCTCGAAATCATAAAAACAACAACAACAACAACAACAAGTCTGCTATTCTGATAGAAACAGTGTAGACAGTGTCTAACCACGCACAAGGGACAGTGGGAACACTGGTCCAACGGGCAGATGGACTTGCTTGGGGGTCTACCCATCTTGCCGAGCACTTGGGCCCTTCAGTGGACACCTGGCCCCAGTGTCAGGAGACTGCACAACTTAGGACACACAAATAATTCAGTGCCCATGTTTTTATATGTCATTTGTATTTCTCTTAATTTCTTATAATTATGCAATGATTTCTCCTAGGTTTTGTAACTATTATTTTCTAAAATGCAATGTAGGTATGCATTTACCTCCTTTGAAACAGATTTCAATATTTTTCCTTCTTTCCCATTTTCTTCCTGTTTCTTTTACCTCCCTTCCCCCACAAAAAAAGGAGCAGGAGGCTGGACTCCACGTGTGTCCAACAAATACCAGTGGCTGCAAATCGACCTTGGAGAGAGGATGGAGGTCACCGCCGTGGCCACACAGGGCGGGTACGGCAGTTCTGATTGGGTGACTGGCTACCTGCTGATGTTCAGTGACAGCGGCAGAAACTGGAAGCAGTATCGGCGGGAGGAGAGCATATCGGTACGTTCCTTCAATGTGGGGCAGTCTCCTGGGGTCTGGACTGTGGAAATATCTCCATCAGGTTTGAGGAGTGTGTGACGGGCAGAAACAAACCTCCAGGCTCTTGCCAAAGATTTCCTCACATACGACACTTACCTGTTGTGTTAGCTGTCAGCAGGTTCACCCAACCCATGATAGCCCCAAGCACAGTGGCGTGAACCTCTGCTTGGCCCTGTGCCATCTCCCTGTCTGGTGGCAGATTAGACCTCTATGGTTCATGGCATTGTCATTGGCTGATTTTCAGGTTACCAGACTTTTCCTCTTTGTCTGCCTTAATATGGTAGCTCCACTGAGACATGTCCATGTTCAGCATCATAGCTTCACATCTCCAC